AAAAAAAAAAAAAAAAAAAGAATAATGTTGAAAGCCAGATATGGTGTTTCGATCGGAAAGCCGTGCATAGATCAGCCTCAAGGGAAAGGCTCCAATGGCAATGAGAAACCAAACATTTAAGTCACAGAGACGGGATAGAGTCACAATGACTAAAGTTGCCGGTAAACATGCAAAATCGGATCTCAAAGGCTTGGGACTAGTCGTGGCAATTGAGCAATGGGGGGCTGATTTATAAAGTCGAGGCAGAGACACTTTGCCCCCCTAAATCAGGGCGGAAAAATAGCCAAGCAGTAGAAATGTCCAACGGGGGGAAGAACCACTCTGCTGGAACATGTTCTCATTCCTCTGACGGTTCCGACGCGCTGGTCATCCCTCGAACCATGTTATTCGAACTTTTCTTTTTCTTTTTCTTTTTTTTTCTTTTTTTTCCCCTTCTGTCTTTCTTCTGATTTTCCCGTTTTTTTTCACCCCCTGTTTTAATTTTTAAACTTCTGTCCTCTGTGCGTAGAAATCATGATTTGGTTTCTCTGGCGAGATTTGCTTTTCATGTTCGGTTCTGCAGCGGATGGGCTGCAGACCAGTTCAGGAGTGGCGGGTCAAATGCTGCTTCATTGGGAGACAAGCAGTCCACGCAAGTGGTGAGTTGTGGGGGATAATGTTGGTCCAAAGCAGCTGAAAGAGAAGCCGAAAGGGAAAATAAGTCGAAATAGTTCAGGACGTATTGGCCCGACACTTGTGGCTAGCCCTGGGGCCCCAGCAGAGAACTCAGAAGAGAGCTGAAAGGAAAAATGGAGAATGGACGGAAGGCCCGCGGTGGATGAGAGTTAAAGAAAGTAGTACTTTTAGTGTTGTTGTAAGTAGTGCAATTGCCCTGTTTGCCACTCCACTCACAATGCGCGATGGGCACCTACGCCATACGTACTTACTCCCTTGTGAATGGACGCATCGATGTTTTTTCTCCGCCTCTTGAGATATCTATCTATAGAAATTCCTCAGACCTGCCTATTTGGTCATAACCTTGTGCGTCTCTCGTACAAGAATTCTCCAAGAGTTGGGGTTACCGGAGAGTCCAGGGCCAAACCTACAGAGACGCACACACCTCTCCAAGAGAAGTATGGTTACTTGCATAGTAAAGGTGATTGCTAGTCAATATGCAAATGAAGCACTATAGCTTGTTTCTGCATGTTTTAGAGTTGAATCGCATCCTGATCAAATTCCTATGCTCCAACTCATAGATATGAAATTAGCATGCCTGAACAATACACCCTGCCCAATTGCCCGTAGGAAACTTGACCTTGCATATTTAATATCGGCCCATAGCACATTCAATATATGTAATTATTACACAATCCACTTTCCAATACTTATATCTTGACTCGTGCACAAAATATCCTTCGGCTTCTAGCACCAACGTTCCGCGATATAATGCCAAATGGTGCAAAGGATCTCGATTGCGTGAGCTTTTAGAGACTCGTCTAGACCATGGAACCTGGCATCATGCGAATGCGGGCAAACTCCACGGAATGTGGTCATTATGCGTTTCCTGACCACCATCTTGACAAAATTCTTGGAACGGCGATAGGCACATCGAGTGGGATGCCGTAACCCCAGTGCTTCTCCTAGTATACTCTCGTTCGATTTATCGATGTTACCGCGACTTAGGGTAAGATTGCACTCATTGTCACCAAAAGCCCTGTTCCTTCACTAACCTCTTACATCACCAATGTTTACAGTCTATCGACTAGTAATAGCCATTTTCGAAATAACTTCGTCCCTTATCGCCAAACATTGCCCTTTCAATCAATTACTCTCTAACTCAGGCATATTGGTTGTTTGTTGATTGAAACAACTTCGGGAAAGATGCTGCATATAGGCATAAATTGATGTGAGTATATGCACGGCCGCGCCAATATGCTAACAGTGTTTGCTTTTTTAAAAATCCCAATTAGGGCTGGGGGTATCTCCGATGATAAATCAAACCGCACTAGCTCAAGACATCAACACCAATAAAACTGCAGTACAGTTACTCAAAGAAGCAACTTTAACTCATCATGAACATTGCATTATACCCACATTCCCCTAATATCTTTTTCTAATCTATTTTATTGGTGCTTTGCAAGTCTCGGCTTTGTGGACCGTGGCTGTGTCGGGCGCAAGTAACCGGTGGATCAGCAGTACATCTACGCGATCCAAGCCATGTTACATACGACTCCTCCTTCAGCTCTTCAGCCCTTCTGTTCAAACTTTGATCTCGGCCAATCTCTTATTCTATGCTTCATAGTTCAGCTTACAACTGCACTTTGACATAAATACGAAAACTATACGGAACACCCTGTGGCCGTGACCTCGCCTGTCAAGCTGCGAAGACAATTCATTAATCATGTCATCATAAATCGCAAGTAGTAAAGACAAAGAGAGCAAATTAGGCATATTCTCAACACGTAATCTATACAGAAAGTACAGATAGTAATGCTTATCCCAAAGCCCTACCAAGTGCTTATATGTATGCAAATCCCGGCTATGGTTCCATTTCAAGTATATCTCTGGCTCGAGTTCCCGAGACATTTACAGTCTAAACAAGATCCTGCAGTACGACCTACCAACTACATAGACTACAGCCCAGCATGATCATCGCCTACCTAAGCCAGAGTTAGAATATTCAAAAGTGGCCCATTACTGTACATGTCGGCGATAGCCGACGTAGCCAACTATGTTTATATATCGTTCTAAATACATTATTGGACAAACACAGCTACTAAAGTACCAACCACCATGTACGTCTTGTTCCTTTGTTAAGTTATTTCTTTGTTCCTTCGATGACAAATACCCAATTCAGATTCCCAAACTAATCACGTATACGACGATCTTACTTTTAGTAAGGGCTCGAATTTCTATAGACTTAGCTATATCACTCATAGCAGCCAAGTCATTTCCAAGTGCAATCATTAACACATACGGTGTAGCTAATCAAACACTGGCAAGATGAAGAACCCTGTTAGAACACCGATGTTATCGTAGGCTAGTGATATAATCCACAGTAAGCATTAACCAGCTTTGCAACCCATTGTTGGCATCATATACTCCGTGCGGAGGACATTCTTTCTCACAAGTACACCTTTCTATCATTAATGCCTGATTCCCAAGGCAGTACACGCGTCATGTTCCCGACCACTTATTACTCGTTAGTGTCTTGGCACTTGATACAACTCCAACCCCAAACGGGAATACCATGGATTTCATACTAACAATACTCAAACCCATCAATAACAACCATAAAAGCAACCCAGAAATCCAAAATCAAAGGGGAAGAAAAGAGGAACAAGGAAAATGGTCTGCTCAAAATGCCAAAAGAAACTCAAATCCACCGAACTAGCTACTCCCGGCGTCAAACGCAAAAGTGAGATGTACTATGGTTCGCCATCGACCTCTGTGGGAGGGGGCGGTGGAGAAGGTAGTAAGTCTAAGCCGACGTTAGGGAATACGGGTATTGGGAAGGTATGCTTTTTCGTTTCTTTGTTCCTTTATTTTTCTGGGGATTTGTGGATTTGTGTTTGGTTAGAGTGCTTGCTGACATGGTAAATTGCTATAGAGCAAGCTGCTTAGCTCGAAAGCTAAGAATCCTTATGCTGCTTATTCGTCTTCTTGTGAGAACTGTAAGACGAAGACGGAGCAGGGGCGGAAGTTCTGCCAGCGGTGTGCTTATCAGAAGAATGGTTCGTTTCTTTACCTTATTATTCTTATTATGTCTTGTTTTGTCCTAAATAGTAAGGTGATGGGGTTGCTAATTGATATCATAGCCTGTCCGATGTGCGGCAAGAGTATGGCCGGGAAGTCCAAGAAGGACCAGCCTGTCGTGCAGGGGCAGAAGTTTAATCTGAAGTAATTGGTGGATGAGTTCGGGTCGTTAGTTGATTTTCCTCTTCTGCTGGGTTGTTCGTGAAGTTGGTTATACTGCCTTGTTTACATTGGGTATGGACTAAACCATATTGCATGGCGTTTTGGGCTCTGTTGATACTGTACACCAGCGAGGCTGAAGATGAATTGCGAATAATGATATGATAATTCAAAAGCTAGTTATACATGACATACAATAGTATATGCAGTTCTGGCCCATCTCGGGCATAGGCACTTCTCAGTGGATCGAATCGCTCAGTTTATCAGTACACACCTTCCACATCCCAGCATAGGATCTAATCATTCTCAGACAAGATACCTAATAAGCCGTACACCCTGTTTAACCAACTATTTACCGCTCAGCCAACATGTTCTTGATGTGGCTGTAGTACTGTGGCAGCACATAAGGCGCAATCTCCTCCTTGGTCAGCCACTTGAAGTCTTTGAGGTTCTGCGTGTTGGTGGCCAGATCAGCCTGTCCAGCCATAATTCGAGCCTTCATGAAGAAAGTCTTCTCGCCCAGATGCTCTGTGCCATCGGCCTTGTCGCCCCTCGGGTATCTGAAGTTGTAGACGTGGTGGCCAACGGGGTGGAAGCCCACCATCCAGGTGTTCATGTTAACACCGGCGGCCTGGGCAAGGGTACGTTCAGCAGCCTGTGCGTTACATGACATATCAGTATTATGCCCAACATAGTACAAGGGAACAGACACAGGGGTAGGTAATCTCTGGTGCACTCACCAGTCGAAGAGTTTCATCCTGTTCCACTGGAGAGCTGGGGAGCTTCCAATAGCCATCCTTAGTCTGAACCAGAAGATAGAGTGTCCTCTGGAGGGCCCGGTTCAGGCTTCTCTGGTCGTTCTTCTCATCCGCCTCCGTTACTCGGGGGAATGGCCTGGGGATCTCCTCCTTCTTGCTAGTATCTTGGGAGGTGGCATTGACTGTGGCTTCCGCATCCTGCACAAGCATCTCCACCTGGTGTTCCGGTTCGGCCTCGACGGCTCCGACGAGAAGTTCATCGTTCCATGCGTCCTTCGAGTACGCATTGTACTTGCCGATATCACGCGCAGGCGTCTGGCGCTCCCGGATTTTACGCTTCCAGTCTTCGTCTGCTGGCGTTCCTCGCTTGAAATAAAAGTATTTAGTGAATGGAAGCGCCAAACGCTCGTTCAGTCGCTTCTGGTAGAAATAGTATGCTTTCTCAAATTGTGAGAGGTCGCGGGTAATCTGAGGGGGGCGGGATAGGGCCACGCCGGCATTGATGGTGTAGACGGGCTTCACGACGGGGAAGGTAGTTGTAGCGGTAGAGGTAGATTCTGAAGAGGGCTGGGCAGCGGCCGAGGAATAATTGCGGCGAACAAGCGTCTCTTGACAACTTCTGCACACTTTGGGGTCGGCAATCGAGGGCCCTAAACAGAGTCAGTACGGCCGATAATTGGCCATTGGTGCATCGACAAAAGACGTACGCAGAACAGACGCTATGCGCCTGGCACCATTGGATCCCGACGACATCTTGCCGACTGTGTTTGCTGGATACTGACGTGCTTGTCAACAGTCCGACGCCGATATTGCGAGAAAAGTTGGCGGTCACCTGTCGCGCTGAGAGAGCACCGGAAACACTAAGCCCGAGGAGGTTAGACTATCAGGTGACCCGCCATTTTTCATCCTTTAAATTTTTTCCCGCAGTTCCTTTCACTTCCTTTTCTTCTTCACAGCACCTTTTCCTTATCGTCACTGTGTTAAGATTCTCCACGACCAGTCGATCATTTACCGGTGCTCAGAGTGAGTACTTTTTGCGGCTGATTTCGCTAGCGGTACCTTCTTCAAAATCAAGGCGTACTGTTAGATAGATGCTGCATACATCCCCTAGCCTTACTACACTGTTTGCTTAGGGGTCTGCGAACTATAGTAGATTATGGGAGAATGATCATGTTCCCCCCTATGAGAAAGATGGGCCAGTATATCATTACTTTATACTTCGTAATGCAAAAATTATTATCCTCGTGAGAGACCTGGTTGCAGATTAGGCAATGCTTGGCTGGACGCTGGCTCTTAGGCGACATTCCAGACTCTTTCTTCTGTGCCAAAAAGACGCAGCTTATTGCCGTAGACTTTCCAAAACTCTGCGTCTCGCCGAGGTATTAAATCCCCATTGGCGACTCTCCGAGTGATATCGACGGAGCTACTGGATTTACGCGATTTGAGAGCCATGCTTCCAAATTGGTTGTTAATCTCTTCAACTTCAAGTGCATCAAATCTCGTGCCAAGCTTGGTGCTCGTCGATGTCTTGAACGCCTCCTTTCTTGTTGCTGATTCCTTCTCCACAATGCCCCTCAGGCTTTCTGGGACAGTCAAGGTTGTAGCGTTCGAGTCCGTAGTATCCGGCTGACCTTTCAATTCAGCCGGCTCCCGAAGCTTGGAGATGCCTCCGTCACGAAGCTGAGCGGAGAGCTTGATAAATATCTGAGCAGTCAGCAGGCTGTCATAGCCTGCCTCGTGGTCGATTCTCTGGCTGTTGTACTTGGAATGCTGATCATGTACACCTGGTCAAGAATCAGCTTAACGCAACAACAATACAAGACGAGGCATTCTCCGCACTTATTTTCGGGATCTTTATATGGAGGAGTTTATCGTTTATCTCACCCAAAGACGATTTGGGTATGATAGAACCGCAATCGTGCGTAGCCATGTATTTTGTATCCATCAAAATTGGAAACATCTCATGAATTATTGCTTGGAATTGATCCAGCTTATCCGGAAGTGGTCCGAAAAAGCAGCGATAAAGATATACCACGTCTGTGAACAGGTTATGTCCTACCAGCACGGGTCGATGAGATTTCAAGCGCTGTTGCAATTTGTCAGAAAACTCGTGCAGTGAGACCTGTGGTTCCACGGCTGTCGAGCTGTTCATTATGCTCCCAAAACAAAACGGATCAAGATGCGAGAGATCGCCACCAGTTAACGCCTCCACGATCCATCTAAATCCAATCTGCTTCCAGACTCGCTCTTGTGCCCGAGTCATCCTCTGCTCTCGGATAGCTTTCTCGCGGTCTTCGTCATAGTCAATTACTTGAATGAAAGCTGGTCTACTGATAGTCACTAGAGAGGGGTATTCGACCTCTATTAGCTGATGAACAAGCCTCTTTTGAAAGTTATTCAAGATAGATGGCATGAGTTTAGGCTTTCGAGACGCGGTGTATCGTTTTGGTGGGGGTATGTTGAGATAAGCCTCACGAGCCTAGCGACGTTAAATCGGGAGTAAAGCAATAAAATCAAGGCAATTTACCTCGCCAAGCGCAAGCCAGTCGTCTACCAGATGTCGTACTGCTTCCAGGAACGCCAGAGAGTCATGTTCTGTGTCCTTAACGTCGATCACTTTGCGCACGGAGGTACGGCCATACCTCTCAGCAGCCCTGGCTATGGCTATTGTCTCTTCTTCTCGTGACAAATAGTGAACGCCATCACTATAAAGGGAGTTCATGCAGAATTTATTCTCCAAGAGAAACTCAACCGCTTCGATAGATCTTAGTTCCATTATCTCACAAGTATGAAACTTGAAGGCATACCGCCGCTTTGGAAGCACATATCTCTTCCCACTTCTAATCTACGGTCGATTATTGGGTTTAGGTATAAGTTATAGGGTTTGAGGATGTAGGTTCCTGTAATTGTGACCATTAATACCTCTGACTCAACCCTCGAGGACGGACGTCTCTTACCTGACTCAGTATCTTCATGACAAATTGTCAGACCAATTTGCACTATTCGATACTTATCGGCTGATTCTTTGACTTCTGCATAACGCTCTTGCAGCGTAGACATTTTGTTATTCGGCAAATTTGAAGAGCACGCAATCCCCGAAAATTCAAAGTCTAAAGAAACGAAACTGCAAGACGCTAGGTCATCCAGTATCCTGGGGAGGAAGAAGGGGAAGGTTTTTGGTGTGATATCCATCTCGATTGTCACATAGACCTGTGGAAATAAAAAAAATTGGTCGATATGAGTATACGGGAGTCAGATTAAAAAAGGCTAGCCCAATAGGTAGTATAATGGTGCTGTCACATTAATAGCAGATCGGCTTGTATCCTTCACGTGGAGTGGGCCATAGTAGTCCAGTCAGTAATGTGAGTCTCAATTCATTTCTCTAGAGCTGCAGTATTCCTGTTCCTTGTATATATATGTCATGGAAGTGCAATGTGACTATGATTATGTCGCAGTTCAGTTAAGCCTCACAATTAGATAGGATAATTCCCGATCGTTGTATTGTCAGACAGCGCAGATCCACCGTCCCGTGACATCAGACCCCAGATTCGGCCACATCAGATTGAGCCGAGGGAAAAGGAACCCCGACTTGCAACCCGTCCAAGCTGAAAGTTAGTGTCAAGTGTCACGTCCTCCTGTTAGCTGCATCCCAACCACCCCTGAGATACAGTTGAGCGTGAATTGTGCCCTTTAATCTTCACTGCACATATTGTAACCACCACGCGAACCACATATCCCCACATTAAACATCTATCGCATCCTCGGCTGGCGGTGAAACAATGGCCGCCGACGATTCCGTGTCGGCCTCGCAGTCGCAACTCTCAACCTCCGCATCGTCCCTTTCGCCTTCGAAGATCTGCTCTAAAACCTACAAGAAAGCTTCTCAGCTTTTTTTAACTCGTCGGCTGCAAGAAACTCTAACCACTCTTGAACCCATCCTCGCACCCAGTCAGGCAAATGACGACCAATATGCCAACGGTAACGAGTCACTACCGCCGATTGCTATGGCTCAAGCTTCGGTGAGGATCAAAGTTTGGAATTTATACATCACACTGCTGAGCGCAATACTTGACTTGGGACCCGAGGAAGGAAAAGCAACGTTCGGCCAGAAAGAGTGGAAGGCTATCTCCACCAAAGTGCGCGAGGGCGAAATCTGGGAGACAGTTGTTCAAACGGGTTATAAAGGCCGCGAGGGCTCAGTCGATGCGGAAGTCGTATATAACTTGTCAGT